GTCCTTTTGTTCTTTAGTCTAGTTGTGGAGGATGTCGCTTCACTGGCCCATGTTGGTATGATTATTGCGCTTTTCCCGGGTGAGGCAGATCGGTCGCCGGCCACTGGACGGCCGCTCATGGCGGCCCTTGGCACCTCACGCCGGCTCTCAGTTACTCACGGTAGCTTACAGCAGCCCACTGCGGCTTCACTGCAGCCTACGCCGTTGCCGGCAACTCATGGCAGCCCAGCTCCAGGTCGAGCTGTCGTTCACTATCTTAGCTGTAGAGGGCGCAGCATCACTGGCCCTAATGTGGGATTCGAACCGGTGCCCTGCTGCTCAGAGCTGGCTTCTCAAGCCAACTCTTAACCAACATGCCACTCGGCCGGCCCTGTTTAATTTTCTAAGAAAACTGTTAGGCCTTTTTCTAGAGCGGTTGTGCCTTTTCTACCACAAATGATGATAAGAGAGTTTAGCTTGCTCCACATTCTTGCCAACATTTGATGGTGTCTGTCTAATTTGATTTTGGCAATCTGGTAGGCATACTGTGATATCTCATGGTTTTAATTTACAGTAGTTCTCCCTTCTCTGCAGGGGATACCTTCCAAGACCCCTTGTGGATGACTGAAATCATAGATAATACCGAACCCTATATATACTATGTGTTTTCCTATACACACATACACTTTACAGCTTCTCTTTGGTATATCCGAGTTGCCAGCATCATTACTCATGTGCTTTGGGGTCATTATTAAGTAAAATTAAAGAGTTACTTGAACATAAACACAGAGATTGTGTATCAGTTGATCTGATAACCGAGAAGGTTACTCAGTGTATATAGTGTGGGTACACTGGACAAAGGGATGGTGCATGATCCAGGTGAGACGAAGCTGGATAGTGCGAGATTTCATCACGCTACTCAGTGTGGAGAGAAAACATGACATCTGCCATTTTGAGTGCAGTTTTCTCTTGGTTGGGGATTTGTTTTGTTGTAGTTTCTGGAGTTTTCCGAAAGCTGCTTTGGTTCATATGTTGTTTATTTGGTGTTTTCATAGAGGAGTGAGAGCCCGGATCTTCTGTCTGTCATCATGCTGATGTTGCTTCATGTTTGGATAAATTTCAGACATTATTTTCTCAAATATCTTGTCTCTCCCCTTTTTTCCTTCTGCTTCTGGAACTCTAATATACATATATTAGATCAGTTGATATCAGTGTATAGGTTACTGAAGCTCCGTTCATTTATTTTTCAGACTTCATTTCTCTCCCTGCATCAGTTTGGATAGTTTCTGTAGCTATGACTTCAAGTTCACTGATTTTTGTTTTAAGTTTCTAATCTGTTGTTAATGCCATCCAATGGAATTTTCATTTTTGCTCTTAATATCTCTTGAAGTTCTATTTGTTTCTTTTTTTATATCATCCTTTTCTCTTAATATCTACATGATTTCCTTAAAATAGTTGAGCTTATTTGTTATAGTAATTTAAAAGTCATTGTCTGCTAATTCCATTATTACGGCAGCATTCTAGATCTGTTTCTGTTGACCAATTTTTTTTACCTGCTGATGGATCTCACTTTTTTTTTTTTTTTTTAGCTGAGCCATCCTGCCACCAGTTGGCAGCTCAGCTCAGGCCGGGAATCGAACTGGCGACCCTGTTGCTCAGAGCTCGCACTCTTTTTTTTTTTTTTTTTTNCAGGGGCTGCAGCCTACGCTGTCGCCGGCAACTCACGGCAGCCCAGCTCCAGGTTGAGCTGTTGTTCAGCATCTTAGCTGTAGAGGGCAGTGTCATTGGCCCTCATATGTGGCATCTGAACCGGGGTCCTCTGACGTCCCAAGCCAGCTCTTAACCAATGTGCCACTTGGCTGGCCCACAAGTTTTTTGTTTTTGAACACCTGATTTTACTTATTTTGGGTTTCTATCTAGGAGTGAAATTGCTGGGTCATATGGTAATTCTCTGTTTTTTTTTTTCTTTTTTAAAGATTTTATTGGGAAATTGGGGTAGGGGAACAGCATTGGGGAATCAGGGAAGGGGAACAGACAAGTTGCTGTCCTTTGGTTCTTCAGTCTGTTTGTGGAGGACGACGGTTCACTGGCCCATGTTGGTATTATGATCAAATGCGCTCTTCCCGGCTGAGGCAGATCGGTCGCTGGCCGTTGGACGGCTGCTCACGGCAGCTCATGTCAGCTGCCAGCTGCTCACACTGGCTGCCAGCCACTCATGGCAGTCCCCTGCAGCCCACTGCAGCCTACGCCATCGCCGGCCACTCACGGCAACCCAGCTTCAGGTTGAGCTGTTGTTCACCATCTTAGCTGAAGAGGGCACAGCGCCACTGGCCCATGTGGGAGCTGAAACGGCAGCCCTGCTGCTCACAGCTCGTGCTCCCAAGCCAACTCTTAACAAACTGAGCCACTCGGCCTGCCCCTGGTAATCCTCTTTTTAACATTTTAAGGACTGCCAAACTTTTTCATAGAAGCTGCACCAGTTTACATTCCCACCAACAAGGTGTGAGTGTTTGCTTTGTAGCTTTTGAACTGATTTTTATACTTTATCAACTGGTCTTAAAGATATTCTGTTTTTAGACCTCATTCTGCTTAGGTTGAATTCATTAGTCACTTTCTTACCCTTGGTACTATCCCTGTTCAGAATTATATGCATGTTTAGGCTTCTATAACTTCCTACACATGACAGTATCAAAAGGTCACCTATCTTAAATCATCTGATGGTCCTTTAGCATGTTAACCACCACGCCCCCCCTTTTTTTTTTGCTTGCAGTAATCAGTGGCCAGCATCGAAGTGGTGTAATTTCAGCCAGAACTCGGATTGATGTTCTTTTGCTCACTTTTAGAAGAAAGCAGCCCTTCACTCACTTCCTTGCCTTTTTCCTCAATGAAGTTGAAGTTCAGGAACGATTCCTGAAGTTCCAGGAGGAAGTATTGGAGAAGTGCTCCAAGGTAAGCAGCAAACAAAACGAAACAAAAAAAGAAAAGAAGAAAATAAAGAGTACAAACATGGTTCATAATTCAAGCAGTAGATACAGATCTCTTCTCCCACCAAAAAACCTATTTCTGATGATTTCATTTAATTCTGAACTGAAAAAATGTAGAGACATATCAGCAGCATAAGTCTCTATATAATACTGAAACATATTAAAAAATTTTAAGACACAAAAGAATCATCCTAATGTACACAGTGTTCTGTACCTCGTGGGTGGCAGTGTTAACAAGATGTCATCATCTATAGATTTTCTGCCTCTGGCAGTCATGGCTGATTTGGGGTTAGTAACAAAAAGAAATTTGCATATAGAATTGTCATACTTAGGTAACAGTGAAATGCTTATGACCAGGATAATAGATAATCTAGATTAGAAAACAAGTTTTAAAACTGCTTTTGGATATAAGTTTAGGTTATTTAAATAAATATTTATTGATTTTTTTGAAAAATGTATGAAAGTAATATACATTTATTATAGAAAATTTAGAAAAAGATTAATAAAAAGCTACCCATAATTTCATCACTGAGATAATATTGTGGCATTTTCTGTGTGTGTACACACACATACATTTAGAAAATAAAATGTGTTTTGTGTATGGGTTTATACCCTATTTTCTTTGAAATTTAGCACTATACCATATTGTTTTGTCATTGAACAAAAATCTAAATCTTTTACCTTTGCTTTGGAGACCAGGAAGGAAATTATATCAGTGATGGCTAAAATAACATAACTTGATTTCAATAACTGTTCACATGGCTTGGTTTTCAATGGCTGCTTACTATTCTGTTATATGGATATATAATTATTTAACCTTTATTTCTGTTTTTTCATTATTGTAAATAATGATGTTATGAGTATTCTTCTGCACTAGTCTAGTTAATTATTATTATTTTTTAAAGATTTTATTGGGGAATTGGGGAAGGGGAATAGTATTGGGGAATTGGGGAAGGGGAACAGCCAAGTTGTCCTTCAGTCTTAGTTGTGGAGGGCGCAGCTAGCTCAGCTCCAAGTCTAGTCGTCATCCGGCTGCCTGTTGGCAGCTCGCTGCTCAGCTCAAGGTGCCGTGTCCAATCTTAGTTGCAGGTGGGCGTAGCCCACTATCCCATGATGGAATTGAACCGGAAACCTTGTTGCTAAGAGCCCACGCTCTAACCACTGAGCCATCCAGCTGCCCATCGGCAGCTCAGGGCAGGTCAGCTCAAGGTGCCGTGTTCAGTCTTAGTTGCGGGTGGGCGTAGCCCACCACCCCCTGCGGGAGTTGAACCGGAAACCTTGTTGTTAGGAGCATGTGCTCTCACCAGCTGAGCCATCCTGCCACTTGTTGGTAGCTCAGTGCCAGCTCAGCTCGGGCGCAGCTCACTGGCCCATGTGGTAATTGAACCGGCGACCCTGTTGCTCAGAGCTTGAGCTCTTAACCAACTGAGCAACTTGGCTGGCCCTAGTTAATTTCTTACTTAGAAAATTTCTAGAAGTGGGAAAGAAGTATGTGTGTGTTGGAGTTTTTTGGTATGTATATCCAAATTACCTTCAGGAAATATTACAGCACTTAATACTTCTAACTATAGTTTGCTTAAGGTTTCTTTTCCCACCCTTGCCAATACTGGGTCTTGTCATTCTTTTAAGTTTTTTGTTTTTGTAACTCAATTGATAAAAATTATTAGCTCATTGCTTTACGGTTCATTTATTTGATTATTGGGGGGATAAAACTTTTTCATATGTTTAACTTTTGTTCATGTCTTGGCCTGTTTTTCTCTGAGTGTTCATTTTTTAATTTATTTGTAAGAGCATATATATTAAGAAGATCAGTATTTCTTTATAATTTACATTTAGCTTTTTAATATATTTTGATATATAGAAAGATGTAAGAGTAACTTCTTTTTAACCCCTATTTAATTAACCATTTATCCCCAGAAGAAATTAAAATTTTTTCTTTTACCTTAAAAATTATCATACGGTAAAATGGACTTTTTTTGGGTGTACATTTCTATGACTTTCAACATACATTTAGATTTGTGTAGCCACCTACCACAGTCAGGATACAGAATAGTTCTACCACCCCTGAAACGTCCTCATCTGTCCTTTTATAGTTACCTCTTCCCCACCCCAAATGCTGGCAATCACTGATCTTATCTTGGTTACTGTAGTTTTGTCTGTCTGTGAATGTCACATAAATGGGACCATACAGTGTGTAACTTTTTGAGACTGGCTTTTTTCACTCAGCATAATGCCTTTGAGTTTCATCCGAAGTTGTTGTGCTTATCAGTAGTTTGTTCCTTTCTATTGCTGAGTAGTATATTCCACTGTATGGATGCACAGAGTTTGTTTATCCACTTACTGGAGGACACTTAGGTTGTTTCCAGTTTTTGGAATTATGAATAGAACTGCTACAAACATTTGTGTACAGATTTTTATGTAAACATAATTTTTTTTTTTTTTACAGATTTTATTGGGGAATTGGGGGAGGGGAACAGTGTT